TACCTGCGCTGCTACGTGGGGCACCAACAGGACGATTGGGCGGAGCTACTACCATTCGCGGAGGTGGCATACAACAACGCCGTCCACAAGAGCACCGGGTTCTCTCCGTTCAAAGTAGCCACCGGGAGAGATTTCGTCCCCATGCCGGAGCTGCCTCAGCCGGAATCCCAGATCAACTCCCTAGACGCCTGGTTCGCCCAAATCGACGAGACCCGGCGAGCGGCGCACGCGGCATTGCAAAGAGCCAAAGCCGACTACAAGAAGCACGCGGACTGCAAGAGGCTCCCCGAGGAGAAATGGAAAGTGGGGGACCAGGTGTATCTGTCAACCAAAAACCTAAAGACACACCAGGCATCGCAAAAACTCAGCCCAAGGTTTGTGGGGCCGTTCCCCATTACGGAGGTCATCAATCCGGTGACCGTCAGGCTGACGCTCCCGAAAAGCCTCGGGAAGATCCACCAGGATCAGTCCTGGCTTTGCTTGTGACTACTATGTTACGCATGAGTAAACCTTCTTTGTGAACCACACGTGTCACGAGAGTTTCTCTGTCGAACGGGGCAAATCTTACAATGGGAAGAAGAGTTGATTGGTAGATCAGCCAGCACAGAGGAACTCGGGAGCACTAGCAATAGTCCCAATAGCTTTACCCAGCAGGTTGTCTATTTGCAAGGTTCCAGATGGGGCAAAGAGTCTGCCTGACAGGGTGACCAGCAGAGAGATGGCAGAAAGAGAGGACTTGGCTAGCAAGCCTTCTTGAGAGTGTGATGGTGAGAAATGCTAAGCCACCAGCAAAGTCCCAGCAAGGAACATGGGTAAATTTGATCTTGGGGAGGGCAAATGTCAAGCAACAAGGCTGACTGCAGCTGCCAAATCATCCCTGCCAAGGCCAGCATAATTCAAATCAGAGACAGGCAATCATCCAACCTATCCAAAGCTACTCCATCCAAGCCAGGATAAGCTGAACTAAAACAAAGTCAGCCCATCTGAGCAAACACCACCCCATTGAAATCAGTACCATGTCAGCTAAGCCAAAAGCAACCAAGCCAAGCAAGCACAAGATCAGCCAGCACAGCACTAGCCCACAGGACTTAGTGATTAAGGGGTGGGGGTGTTAACAATGAAGGAAACCATCAGATATAGGCTTGAGGGCAGGATAAATTTCAAAATGGTGGACTATGCAAGTTCAGCATGAAGCATCCAGTGGTGGCTATGACTGCCTGAAATGGGAGGTGTCAAGGAAAAGGAAAGATGGGCTAACTCTAGCTTCCCACCCTTAGTCTTTGGGAAAATATCAAGATCAACCTAACAGTACTACAAGTTAGCCAGCACTGGCTTGAGAGTTTTTAGAAGCTAGCTAAAAAGAAAGTTGAAATCGAAAGACAAATAAAATAGAAAACAATTTACTATAATAGACCATATGGGAATAAGCTGAAAAACTAAAGACACTTTATTGCATCTCGTATGTATTTCTATAATAATAAAAGAGGAAAAATATTTTTTTCCATGAGGAATTAATCTGCATCCTGCTTGCATTTATGGCATCCCAGAACCTTTAACAACCAGAATTTTCTCAGTAGAGCTCTAAAATGTAAGGATATTTAAGGGATCTGTGTAACTCAGATGTGACTTCCACTCACTCTTTTCCTGGAGCATTCTTGACAGACTTGCCGTAAAAATAGGACCTAAATTTTAATAGAACACTTGTGATTCCTGCTTCAGAACTTTTTTTTTTTTTTTTTACTATCTTGAGGAAAGCATTGTGGATACCCCAGGAGAAGTAGCTATAATTTCTGACAAAAGGAACCTCAGAGGAGTATTTTAAATGGGGAGGGAACGATCACTTTAAAAATATACAGTTTCAGGAAGTGAGACCAGGTATTTCTGAGAGAGTCTCTTTATTTGCTGATGATGATTCTAAATATATTATTATATTCAAGCCTACAACAATGTTATTCTGCTGCTCTTACAGCAGGTGGATGTCAGAGGATATTTGATTCTACCCTGGATAAGTTATTTAATACTTCAGATGTTAGATTAATGGCTGTTGCTGAAATTGGTATGGAATCCAAATTATCTTGACTGCTTGGTCCTTATGGGTTTGCATGTCTAGCTAAACATTTTTCAAAAATCAATGCTGGCATATAAAGTAGCCAAAAATCAGGAGTTGAGTGGCATCTTTTCAGACCAACGAATTTGATTAAAAGCTTCCATCAGATACATGGAATCCCCCCCATCCCAGTTTAAAGTACTCCATGCATCTGATGAACTGAGCTGTAGCTCACAAAAGGAGATGCCTTTTAATACAAATGGTTAGTCAGAAAAGATGCTACCAGACACCTTCTGATTTTATGTATTATCAGATGAGTGATGTTGATCTAGAAACTGTAAGAATAGTTGCATTTTATTTTAGAGACAGGCTGTTGTTGACTTACAGAGTAGCTTTCCCCCCTTCTATGCCCCATTTATGGAACTTCCCCAGAAAGATTTGCCCACACCAAAACTTTTGTTTCATATAAATTAATATGGAAATTACTAGGCTTAGTGAATGCTTGATTTATGGTTCTTTTCTGACCAAATGGATAAAAGGGGGGAAAAAATGGATGGAAGTTTGAAAAGATGGGCTTTGGATGAATCAGATTAGCATAAAGTGAGTAAATATGTATATGTCTAACCAATTAAAGTGAAAGATTGAGTTAAGTGGTAGAGCAATGACCATAATGCAAAAAGTCAACAATTCAGTCACTAGAATCTTTACTTAAAATGACTGAGGAAATAGTATGTGTAAAAGTATTTGGAAAAAAATAGGGGAACTCGGGAGCACTAGCAA